CCTGTCATACGAGGAAAGGCGCAGGCAGCTGGGGATGTTTGGCTTGGAGAAGAGGAGGCTGAGGGGGGATCTTATAAATGCTTATAAATATCTAAAGGGTGGGTGTCAGGAAGATGGGGCCAGGCTCTTCTCGGTGGTGTCTGGTGACTGGACTAGGGGCAATGGCCACAAGCTGGTGAACAAGAGGTTCAACCTGAAGATAAGGAAGAACTTCTTTATGATGAGAGTAACAGAGCACTGGAACAGGCTGCCCAGGGAGGTGGTGGAGTCACCATCTCTGGAGACTTTTAAAGGCTCACCTGGATGTGTTCCTGGGTGATGTACTCTAGGTGATCCTGCTCTGGCAGGGGGGTTGGACTAGGTGATCTTTTGAGGTCCCGTCTAAACCCTAACATTCTGGGAATCTGAATCTGTGTAAGAGGTGGTATGAAGTGAGAGGTGTTTGGGTAGACTGAGCATTGGTAAACACTGGTTTTTATTATTCCTGTGATAGATGTTCTGTGCCAAGGCTGAGATTGATTATCTAAATGCCTGAATTGTGGTTCTCATGAGAACATTTGAGAAATGCGTAGGTAGCCTGTCTCTGTAGTAAATTTTGTTTCAAATTCTCCCAGCCTTAAAATTATATTTAATGTAGTCAGTGCTTTTTTTCTGTCTTTTCTAGTAAGAGCTTAATGGCATTGTTTTTTAGAAGTGACATTAGACTCTCCAAAGCTAGCACGTTCATGCCAGCATGGGGCTGTTCCTTTTTGTCTGCATAATAGCTGTTTGCTACTAGTTTTTATTCTTTCACTTCTTTCACTATTAGCCTGTGGTAGTTTTCAAGTTTTTCCTTATTTTGAGGCATAGCAGTTTTTGTTGGTTGATTTTTTTCCCCTTTGCTCATGCTTATGTGCTGTTTACTTTGTCCTTTCAAACCTTGATAAAGGGTTTCTTCCTGAGTATGAAAGTCACATTTCTGGGATTAAGTAGCTTGTTCAGATCAGGTAAGTTAATGAGCTAGAAAAACTTGCTTTCCTATCAATGTGGAAAAAATTGCCCTAGGAGAAACAGTAAACATTTCACCATATGCAGTGGGGCACAAAAAGGTAAACAACCCCGTGTTCTAAGGTGGTTTTGGTTTGAAACTTAGTTGTGCAGTACTGTTCATGGTTTTTTGGTTGTTTGGTTTTTTTTTGTTTTAAGTGCTGATAAATTTGTATGTTTCATGGCAGCCTTAGATGTTTATTCTTATGTAGGAATCCTAGCTTTGCGACACATCCAAGTCATTGACGTGTAATTTATACTGTTTAGATGAATCTTTAAAAATAGAAGTATCTGGATTGGGAATAAATGTTGTCTTTTAAGACTGTCTTTTTTTTAGCTGATAGTATACTGTCTTAAAATTTTAACATAACATAGACTTACAAATTGATAGCGTTGATAGATTGTACAAGTCGTTATCAATGTCACACTGAGTTGTGCAGCTACACAGGAAATGAGAGGGTTTTTCTGACCCATAAATCTGTTGGAAATAGATTGCTTGAAATTACTTCCATTAACAAAGAGTTTAATTTGGTCCATAGTATAATAGTGTCTGTCCTGTATAAAAAAAAAGTTGTAAAAAATGTTTATTTCTTAAAGCACTAGCACTCCCTTCAACACATGGAAAAGTGAGACAAGTTTGCCATCCTTGGGAAGTACATAACGTACCACTGTCAAAGCTGGGTTGTGATGCGAGTACTTCTGAAGACTGATTTTTGACTCCCAGATTTAGCTAATTCAGTTCTGTAGAGCATTTTGTGGTTATGTTGTTGTACCCTCTGCAGGCAGGAGCAGAGGAACATTCTGGAACCAGGTTTTGCTGTGGTGTTTATGCTGGTGTTATTTTCAGAAAATATAACTGTGGTGCTTAAAGATGACACATTGAACAAAACTGAGGTTTAAGAAAAGGGCTAGCATGGAGATTTCAGGTTTTCCTTTTTTTAAATAGTAATGTTAACTAGTTTGTAATGGTTTTGTAGTACTTGTAAAAATCCTACTGTACATGGGGTTACACTACTGATTATCCTACTGATTACACTATTTTGAGAGGAGTTTTATAGAACACTAGCAGATGTGCAGGAAAAACATTTTCTTACCTTTTTTCGGTGTAATTTATGCTACAGATCATTAAATAAACTGTGCATCTCAAAGCTTAATTTTGTGGTCTGTCATATGCCTTCAGGACTATGCAATACGAGTGATTGTTGAAATACATTCAGGTGGACCTCATCATGAGAGATGAATCAGAAAAAAAGCATTCTGGTATATTGAGAAGTTCTGAAAACAACTGTCTGAAAAAAAAAGAAAGATAATTCAATTAGCTACCCTTTACCTTCTGTCAGATACTACAGAAAAGGAAAAAGCATCAAGAAAAATCATCTCATATGTAATAACATATTGCAGTACCATTTTTAGGAACTACTGAATATTTTCAGTATTCTGAAATAATTGATGTAATGTCTTTTGACAATAGATGTACTGAAATCATAGTCAGAAGGAAATCAAAAGAGTTGTTTTGACATATGTCTGCTATACAGGGAATCGAGACTGTTGCCTTTTAAAAATCTTACCATACCAGAATATGTAGGCTTGTGGGTTTTTCTTATTTGGTTTGTTACTTAACCTCTTTGCTACTCCAGGCTTTTTTTTTTTTTTCTTGTCTTCAAAATCAAGGTGTTGGTATTTACTTTTTTGGAGACAAATTAATTAGAATTTGGGTTTTTTATTTGCCTCAAGTTGACAATGATTAATAGTAATCTTCTTGTAATGCTATACAAGATATTTGGCACTTTTTTTTTTTTTCCTACAGAATTATGTTTTACACTGTCAGACAGTTAGAAAAGCCAAAGTAGTTGTTTCATCTTTTACTGTTCAGAGCATGTTGTTTGCAGGAACTTGGTACTTCTGTTTTTGAATGCACTGATCAAATGTGCTGTGTGAACATACAAACAATAAAGGTTAGGTCTGCTCATAGCAATGCCTGTATACACTCCATTTAGTGCTCTCACAGATGTCTCCATTACAGAATTGTTTAATTGTTGGGCTGTGTATTGAGCCTCATTTCCATTTTACTGTTACTTTACAAGGGCCCAGTATCACCTTTTGTTCCTCATTCATTTATCTCCCAACCTAAAAATACTACAGTTAGTAAATCACCTCCAGGAGCCCCAGTTGATACAATTTTATACAACTGGTATATGCTGCTTGCTGCACGTGCTCATATTCACATGTAGTCACAACTTAAGTACAGATATTACTTATATTACCTATTACAGATATTACGACTTATGTACATCACAGGCAGAACTTTTTTCTGTTTGCTCAAAAATAATCAAAAAACAAGCAGGAGGATGACACAGTTAAACGACTTTCAGGTTTAATATTTTATACTTCCGGCTCTGTAGAAAAGCTTTTGAAGAGTTTCAGGAAAGAAAATGTTAGCAGATTAAGAGGAACATGTGTCTCCTGGGAATCCTTGAGCAGCTGGAAAGTACTAGTTACCAATTTTACCATTTTATCTTCAAATCTTCATCTGGTACTAGGTACCAAAAGTATTTTAACAGGCAGGATTTTCCTGTGTAGTTCTTGGTGATAATGCTGTTTGCTCTCTTCCTAGGGCAAGGGCTATAAAGGTTAGAGTTCTCCATCCATCCTTGCCCCTGCCCCAGTAGAAGTAGGCTTGGATGACAGGCAAGCTGAAGCCTAGTCTGGCCAGGTCAGTCAGATATGCTTAAAGCTCTGTTATCTTTTTTTCCCCTTAATCAAAAGCTACACAAAGAACTGAAATATCAGGAGTGTACAGTATAGGTGGATGAATCACAGCTCAATGCTGTTTTTTTTCATGAATGTTATCACCAGCTGCAGGTTATCTCCACTCATAAGTTTGGCAACATAGCAAGTTGCATTGTGTCACTTCATGATCACAAGAGGAAAAGGATGAGTGAAATGACATGGCTGAGTGTAGAGACAGAGGCTCTTCTGGCACCTGCAGCCTCTTCATAGTGTGCTGGAGGAGAGCAGTGGGCAGTGCTGCAGGATGATGTAAGCCTTACAGGGATGGCAGGTT